TCCCCGAAAATCTTCACCGCTGCATTGGAAGACGTTTTCAAGCTACTGAACCGAAAGGATGCGGTATTAACATCAATGGCGAGTACATCACTCACCTTCGATTTGCCGACGATATAGTCTTTATGGCAGAATTGCTGGAGGACCTAAGCACTATGCTCAATGACCTTAATAGTGTCGCCCAATCGATTAGTAAGCTGAAGTGGCAGTGGGCCGGCCATATAGCTCGAAGAACCGACAACAGATGGGAAAGAAAGGTTCTCGAGTGGCAGCCTCGTACCGGTATGCGAAGTGTAGGGCGATCCCCAAATAAATGGAGTGACGACCTGGTAAGACATGCAGGAAGTCGATGGATGCAAGTGGCTCAGGACCGTGCTTTGTGGCATTCCTTGGGGGAGGCCTATGTTCAGCAGTGGACTTATGAAGGGCTGTAATGATGACTGCCAGGTAAAACCATCGCAATCCCATCATCGCATCTCAAGCAAGAAATTGAGGAAAAACAGAATTGATCAACAGACAAGGAGTGGTCTTTCATCATGGTATCGCCAGACTACACACATCTTTGGCCACTCAGCAAAAATTGAGAGAGCTTGTTTGGGAAGTATTAATGCATCCACCATTTAGTCCTGGTTTTGCACCCTCAGATTTCGGTCTTTTCAGAATTCTTCGGTTAGTGTTAGTTTAATATCAAGAGAGGACTCTCAAACTACTTGTCGCATTCGTTATCAAAAATCGTAATATTTCTATAGCAACGGGATTATACCACTACCTACAAGATGGCAAAACAAATTGTCGAACAAAATGGCACATATAATAAATAAACTTTAAAAAAATGTCTTGAATTTGTATATAAAATACGAAGAATTTTTTTCCCCGACCTTATATGTTAGTCTCTTCTCCATCTCTCTTTAAACTGTCTGTATACAGTGTATACAGGATGAAAATATACTTACGTAGCCAAATTTTATTCCTAAGCATTCACAAATTAAGAATAACGACAAAATAATACCGATATTTACTAAACAGAATTCACTCATTGACCTCTTTTGTATTGAAATGAAAATTAAGAAATGCTCAATATTTTCTTTGTATTAAAATGAGAATAAATTGTTAAAATACTCAATATATTATCCCCGTCATCTGTTGGCAACTTATAGAACCAGTACGATACTTCTTGACTCTATGCAGCGCCATCTACAGAACTAATCTTAAGCTTCATTACTTCACTACTAGATGGGGCTAACGCCATTGTCAAAATATGGCGATAGTAATTAAAATTAAATAAAATAGGCTGGATATCGCACAACAGGAGTAGTTTTTTTGTGAATTGTAGCAAGGTAGCAAGCTTGCTACACAAAAAAACTACTCTTTACATATATCTTAATAAATTTTACAGAAATAGCAATGTTTTCGTAGTTTCTGGGATTTTACCATTTTACATGCGAACTCGTGTTTACAAATAGGTATTATTATGCCCTAAGGCAATCCTAGTTCTTTTTTATAAACCTAAGCCTAAGTTAGCCACACATATCTAATTAATTCTGTAGTTAGAAGCAAGCCATAAAATGATTTCTTCCGCGAGGGAATTAAACCGCGGCTTATTTGTTACGTACGAGAATTGAACGGTGTATCACCCATATCCTAGGTAATTAATAATACATCAGTTATTAAACTAATCTACTATTTACTAAACTAAATCTAGCCTATTTTCTTTAATCTAATAAAATAAATTTGATTACTATCGCTACAACCAGAAGACTATTTTGACATTGGCTGGCTTTGAGATGGGGCTAACATCTAGCAGTGAATTAATGAAGCTCAAGATTAGTTTTGTATTCGGACATAATTGGACGTGGTTATACAAAAAGGATTCAACCCGAGTTTGTGTCAAAAATGTTGACTTGAAAAATAATGTCTGTGCTCTATACTATTATGGTATTATGTGATGTAACAATTTTTATGATATTTGAAGTATGGATACTTCAAATATCATAAACTCAAATTAACTTATCGCGGGTTGGATCCTTTTTGCATAACTACGTCCAATTGTCGTGTGGCAGCCTGGTATCATCATCATCATCATTACAGCCCTTCATAAGTCCAGTGCTGAACATAGGCCTCCGCCAAGGAATGCCACGAAGCACGGTCCTGAGCCACCTGCATCCATCGACTTCCTGCATGTCTTACCAGGTCGTCACTCCATCTAGGGGGGGGGGACGCCATACACTTCGTCCGCCAGTACGAGGCTGCCACTCGAGGACCTTTTTTCCCCATCGGTTGTCGGTTCTTCGAGCTATATGGTCGCCCCATTGCCATTTCAGCTTACTAATCCTTTGGGCAATGTCGGTCACTCTGGTTCTATTGCGGATATCCTCATTTCTAAGTATATCACGCAGAGAAACTCCGAGCATAGCTCGCTGAGCGACCTTATGCTTCCTCATACGGCCAGCAGAGAAGGACCACGTCTCAGATCCGTAAGTAATCACTGGCAACACGCACTGGTTGTACAATTTCGTTTTCAGGTTTTGAGGTATGTCTAACGAGAAGATGTGTCATAGTTTCCCGAACGCTGCCCAGCGGAGTTGAATCCGTCGATGGACCTCTCGGTCGAAGTTGGACTTACCTAGTGGGACTATTTTTCCCAGGTAAACATACTAGTCAACAACTTCGAGCTTAGTGCTCCCAACAACTACCGGCATAGGTGTGACATGGACGTTAAACATGATCTTTGTTTTGTCCATGTACATCTTAAGACCTATCCGTTGGGAAACACTATTGAGGTCATTGAACATAGTGCCTAGGTCCTCCAGCGATTCTGCCATAAGGAAATTCGTCGGCAAATCGAAGGTGAGTGATGTGCTCGCCATTGATGTTAATACCGTATCCTTTCCAGCCCAGAAGCTTGAAAACATCTTCAAATGCAACGGTGAAGTTTCGGGGATATAACGTCACCCTGTCTTACACCTCTCTGCAATTGGATAGGTTTCGTACTCTGGTTCTGTACTCGGATAGCCATCGTAGCCCTACTGTATGTGCACTTTAAAACTTCAATATACCGACAGTCAACTTAGCACCGCTGAGGGGACTGCAGCGTCGCCAAAATTTCGACGGAATCAAAGGCTTTCTTATGAGAAAGCCTTTGATTCCGTCGAAATTTTGGCGGTGCTACATACGCTAGACATAGTGGCAAATTGTACTCCTTGGACTTCTGTGCAATTTGCCGAAGGGTATGTATGTGGTCAAGACAGCGCGCGAGACGATTCGTAATGAAAACAGCACGTAGACGCGGCTCAGAAGGGAAATTGGTCTGTAGTTCTTCAAGAGAGCGTTGTCGCCTTTCTTGTAGAACAAGGCCACCGCACTTCTGCTCCACGCCTCCGTTGTAATACCACCATGGAGGACGGAATTAAAGAGCTTCTGAAGAATTTCAAGTACCGGTTTTCCACCCGTACAGTACCGTAATTCCATTCTCGTCTGGGGCCTTGCCGTTTTTAAGGCAGCCTGGCAGCCTCATGAGAAATCCATCACTCTATTTCTCAAAATTTCATTCGGTGTTGCCAGAAAAATCGTACGGCTTTCGTTAAATGGTAGTACAACCATCTCATTTACGCATATACTCTGACTGGCAACGGTCAGCAGCTTAGATTATACACTAAATCAGCAGCGTCGAAGGTCAACTCAAACAGTGTCGATCAAGGCAAACAAAGGGGTCTCGAAAGTTAAAGAGTTAATAAGTTTTTACGTTAAGCTTAAGCAGTGCGCCTTGCCATCTAGGGACTTCATCACTATGATTTCATAATTCACTTACCACTAGGTAGAATTTTAGCCAAGCACTGGCTTATGAGTAAACCAGTCCCCCGCTACAACAAGAGATGCCTATGCAATAGGCTAATAAGGTCCGATAAGGCCTTGAATTAAAAAAAAATCGGGCGAATTAGTATTCTTTATTTATACGATAATCGTTTAAATAATTATTATTTAATCATGCAATTATCGTATTATTCGCAACAGTTATTAAGTAAAGGCTTTATTTTTTTTCATTTAGGCTGTTTTTTTTCTCAAATTTCGTAGACTACATAAACTTAAAAGTTAGCCTATACATATACACGCCCCACATCTAGGCACAGGCCTCAAAGGGTTTTAGGGCAAGGAAATGTCCGTCGCGCTGCCCCAATGCGTGTTTGCTGTATCAGAAGAAACTGTAAGAGCCGCATAGGCTAACAGCACTTACATCACAGAAAATAGATGAGAACGTGTTAGCGAACTTCACGTCTTCGAAAAAATGTTATCTTATTTCTCAGACATGCAGGTTTCCTCACGATGTTTTCCTTCACCGCCGAGCATGTAGTAAATCAGCACTTAAAATTGTAATTAACATTTTCATTGGTGCCGGCGGGGATCGAACCGGGGTTGCTCGCGTACTGTGAAATTTACAGCGAGCGTTTAGCCCCTGAGCTACCACCGCTCATATTATATTTCATTACAGCCTGAGATGTATAAGATGGAATTTTGCTATAGTTCATCATCATCATCATTACAGCCCTTCATAAGTCCACTGCTGAACATAGGCCTCCAAGGAATGCCACAAAGCACGGTCCTGAGCCACCTGCATCCATCGACATCCTGCATGTCTTACCAGGTCGTCACTCCATCTAGTGGGGGTCGCCCTACACTTCGCCTACCGGTACGAGGCTGCCACTCGAAAACCTTTCTTCCCCCATCGGTTGTCGGTTCTACGAGCTATATGGCCGGCCCATTGCCACTTCAGCTTATTAATCCGTTGGGCTATGTCGGTCACTCTGGTTCTACTGCGGATATCCTCGTTTCTAAGTTTATCACGCAGAGAAACTCCGAGCTATATAGTTGCTATAGTTGGCACAATTTTATTAATATCTTCGGTGGTTATCAGGAAGATGCTGTATGGGGTAGTGGATCTACTTACAACGCCACTACACAGCGATCGAAAACGTCTCATTCTCTTTTAAAAAATAAAAACGCGTATTCACAATTGATTATTTATTTAATACAATTTCGTCAGCATATTACATCATGGCATAGCCTTTTACCTAGGTACAAATATTACAAAAACGTTAAAGCGAGCGACATTTTACATTGTTCTAACTTTACAAGTATATCATAACAATATAATATATCACATCAAATGTCTTTCAAGACCTTGTAACATTAATTTTCACAGTTTATTTTAATAGGCTAATGATGCATATACTTAATTCTAGATGAGGATTGTCATTAATAGTAAATCAATCAGCACAACAAAAATATTTACAAATCAAAATAAAACGCAAAAATTAAACTTAACGTACAAAAATTTTAAACAACACAAGTCAACACATAAATGATAAGTCAACACAGAAAACATTGAAACTTACAACTATTTCATAATAATACTTACGTTTCTGTTTTGGCTTCGCGTATTTGTGTTGCGAAAAGTACAAGAAAAATTATTACATAACTTAACCATTCTAAATATAATCACACCTGGTTGGAAGTAAAATAGGACAACTGCGAAAACAATTGATTTCGATCAAAAAACGGTCAAATTAGTTAACTGACGTCAAAGATGTTGCGTAAGAGAAGATCATACACAAGTTGCATACTTAAGAGAACATTCAGTCGACATAAGAACCTCATTTTTTTAGTTTGTTTAATACAAAGAAAAGATAATAATGTCATTTAGTAGTCAATAAATGATCATGGATTAAAAAAGGGGGGTAGAGAAACTCGGGAACCTCATTGTTTTTTTTAAGGGTTAATCACACTGTCAGCTAATTCAGCTTAGCTTAGCTTACGTAATGCAACCTCTTTTCATAGTCTGGTTCAATGTGGAACAGGCATATTATATTCACACTACGAACTACAGAGATGAGGTAAAAAGCAAACCACAGTTAACCCAATAATCCCAACTAAGCTAAGTAGACTCTGTCGCCCTTCCGTTATCAATTTGATATAAGTGTTACCATTGGAGCTAAGTTGACTGAAGTTTAAAAACTATGTCATTTAGTATGGTTAGTTGGTTAGCTAAGTTAAGCTAAGCCAACGCTTTATCGTATTTGTTAAAGGTACATAGTTAATTTATAAAACCCTTCATGGAACCATATGTGCCAATTTGCCAATATTCGAGAAACGCTTTATTCCCCATTAGGGATCATTTTGTGAAAGAAGTATGTTGTTTTTATGACAAACTATTCGTTGATATAATATGACAAAATATAAGTTGATAAACTATATTTTTGTTATTTTTTTTTGATCGTTCTGCTGAACGGTTTGTAAAGGAAAACGAATTTAAAAATATAAACAAGTTATGAGTAATACACACCACCGTTGATGTGAGATTGCATTAACTGTTTAGTATTACCGTGGTGATAATAGTGCTCACACTTGCGGGATAAGGTGTACTCCTTACTCCTAGGTAATATGTAACATTTTTCTACAGCAAGCATTTATTTAAATAATATATGAGGTATAAAAGTTTTATAATCTCAAATGTAATGACATTCCACAAAGAAACTCCTTATATAAACGTCAGATTTACTCATGTTGTTTATAATAATGTAATATCATAACGTGCACATTTCTATACATGTACAACAATGGTTGCTTCTTCAATCTTCTAACATGTATGTAAAATTAAACAAAGCAGCGCCTATCGTTGATAAAACATCTTACTATATTACAGCTACAAAGGAACAAAAACTATTTTGAAATATTGTTACGATAATTAAATTATGCTATCAGGTGATATGGTTGTATACATGTAACTTCTTCGATCCGAAAGGGTACAGTTCCCTTTTTTGTTTAAAAGTTTAAAAAATATATAATCTCTGCAGCTTCATTACTCTGCAGCGCTGCACACGTATTTAGTTATTAGCTAGTAAAGGTCAGAATTAGAGAAGAATAATTAAAATTTAATATTTATCTAGATTTTTAGTGGTAATTAGATAAGTCACAAGTGTACACGAGGTTTTCATTCTATAATGAAAATCTAAAGCTATAAATTTTTCTCAATCTAATGTTGGAAAAAAAAATTAAGTTTTCCAAAATTCATAGCAATATTAATTCAGACCTCAGAGGTTTCAAATATTTTTCTATTAACAAATACATAATAACAAAAATAATTTAAACACCAAATAACAAAACGTCTAAATACATAATTAAAATGAATAATATTAGTATTTGTCAACTTCTATCACATTTATTTCTAAAAGTTAAAAAATAGACTAATGAAAGTTTGGAATCGTTCAACAATCCCATAAATAAACTGGGTACAAACCTAGCTTGTCTAAGATCCTTAAGCTAAAGAAGCCATGGCAATCACATGTTGACACAGCGCAACTTTTTGTCCGGAATCCTCGACGCAAATTGGAAACTTGGAACAACCGCTCTTGCTTCCTGCTTGGGCTCTTCTTTCTTCTCCGTCGTCTCGCCCATTAATGTCTTGAGACAAATCTTCATGTCCCAAGCGAATTTCCTAACTAGTCTCTCTAAAGAAAAGAGGTGCTCGTCTAACGCTTCTGGGATCTCATCTCTCATGAAGTCAGCTAGTTTCAGAAGATACTCTACGTTGGATCCAGATGACCCATGGCATTCTAGGATTTGTTTCGCTATATCTGGCAGAGGTGCCGCGCCAAGCCAATGGCGGTTTTCTGGCACAGCTATATACAGAAGCGCCTCTTTTTTATCAGTGAAATTTGAACTACTACTGTGGGACGATACAAAGAAAGAAGATCGTGGATGGAAGTTTACGGTGTAAATTTTGTACCCGCCAAGTTGGCATTCTCTTGTAGATAGATACGGAAGAGCTGCGTGATTTTCTGCTGCTACTAAGAACGCCTTGCCCCAAGTGATGCCCTGAAACAACACAGAAACTTTGAGATTTAAAATCTTAAAGACCTAACAAACTGTAAGAGAGAAGCCACACAATGTACGAAGTTGGGGCGGCACCAGACTCTGATGTAAACGATGAAAGTAAAAAATAGCGACATAACATAACATAACAGTCACGTAGAGCCGAGTCAACATAACACTCAAACAGTGGTAGAGCCACGCGGCAGCTTTTGCTGTCGCACGGATGGGCCGGCTCGAACCGGAGTGGTACCACGACCTCACAGAAAACCAGCGTGAAGTAGAGGTTTACCTCTGCGTTTCGCTTGGTGAGTGCAGGTGGCCGGTGGCCCTTTTTACTGGAAATGAGGCATTCCATCTTAGTCCTCACGGGTAAGAACGCATCTACATTTTGATTTTTAATAGAGGATTAATGTAGATGTCTATGGGCCGCAGCAACCACTTACCATCAGGTGGACTATGTGCTCGTTTGTCACCCTTATACTATAAAAAAAAATTATTATCTTGGTGTACCGTATCTCTGTCGCATAACACAGACGTGTATTATGATGGATAACCGTATTTGATTTTCCCGTTTCGCAAAACTTCGTATCTGATACACATAATATCGTGATAGGTATTAAAGCCGATACGATACGACGGTTATACTCCGCGACATTCACACTACACGCCGATATTATACGGTCTAGAAAGGTTAGAACGTGAAAAAGATACGACGGATCGGAGAAAAATTTTGTAGCATCCGCACATTTGTAAATCGTTTCTGACACGATACGCCTAGTGATACGATGATGTCGAAATGGGCACCCATGTTTAAGTTACAAGTACTCCATACGATACATTGATCACAAGATACAACAAGATCAAATGTCGACCCGGCATAATGTATTTCATTCATCGATATTAGTGATCGATGATTTCATTACATTTTTGTAGTTCTATTGTCTCAAACTTACTAACGCGACAACTTAGATCACGTGTAAAATGTAGGCATGTAAAATTAATATTAATGAAAAAACAATTAGATAGTATTGTAATATTATCGCAAATCGTTGTACCGCCTAATAGTTTTTATCATTCAGGCGTTGTCTTGGATGGTCGGTAAAGACTAAATTTTTGTCAAACTTATTATTTGACGTTTTACTAGATTCTGGAACAATTCCAAACCCTCAAAATTTTATTTTAATATTTAAGCCATTTTTTTATAATATTTAAGCTCTTGGCACAATACCGCGGGGAGTAGGATTATATGATAATTAAGTTTCTAGTTTTAGTTTTTTGTTTATTATTGTAGTTTTTAAGCCATAGAAATGAATGTGTAGCTTATTGCGTTTACTACTACGCCAATATAAGAAAGAAAACGGTCTCGTTGTTAGAAAAGGTGCGGGCTGCGGGCTAGCTCCAACTCTATCATGAAAATAATTGCTGAAAGATATGAATCATTTCTTCTTAAACAATATTACCGCGTATGTTTAATTAATAAGGAACTTGTCTTTAAGAATTAAATTTAGATACTAAGGTGGGGTTATAAGTTTTAAATTTTCTAACAAATTAAATGAATTGCTTAGTTATCTGAAATAATTTATTATTATTATCTCATCGCTCAGGTGTTGTCCAATGTAACAGGTAGGGGCACTATGCTATTGTCGGAATCTGATCATTGTGACAAAGGTACAAACGACGAAAACCTAGGAAAATGTCCCAGCAGTGTCTTTGCCTTCTACCTTACAAGTAATAGCACCACACATGTATACACCTTCTAAGAAATCCGTGTCATTTTTTTATTGGATAGGGTGACAATCTAGCACGCAGTCCACCTGATGGTAAGTGGTTGCTGTGGCCCATAGACATCTACATTTATCCTCGTTTGCGAATCAAAATGCAGATGCGTTGTCACCCGTGAGGACTAAGATGGAATGCCTCTTTTACAGTAAAAAGGGTATCCGGTGCTCTACACTCACCATACGAAATACAGCAGTGTTAAGCTGCTATTTTACGCTAGTATTCTGTGAGAGCGTGGTCCTTCCCCGGTCGAGCCGACCCATTTGTGCTACAACTATACTACTAATATAGCTGCAGCATGGCTCTATCATGATGATTGCGGTGTCAATATTTATTCCAACTAAATTTAATTATTTCTACAATGTTTAATTTATACATCCAGTTAATAAAAATTACGACACCGGTATTGCGTTAAATAGTGAAACAAAGTGTACATTTATCACTGGAACTTTGTAATTTGTAACGTATGAATTGATAAAGCTCGCTTTCAGTGCGTATTTGACAGTAGGCATAACAAAAATTAAAAACCGATATAAAATTATAAAAACAGAATATTTTCATTTGTGCAAACTCATAACAGTACACTATCAGTGTGATAAAACGTTATTAAAATATAAAAACTTGTTTTTGTGTTAGGAGACGTTCAATGAACGTTGTGTTCGAGTAGACGTATGGTACCTATTTATGTTACCAGAATAACATAGAGCACTTATAGGCTAAAATAAAATAAAATATGGATGTTCGCCGACAGTTCTTACATTTATATTTTATAGATAAGGATTTAGGATGCATAAATAAAAAGTTAAACGATAACACAAATAAAAACAAAACTTGATAGTAAGTAGTATAAACGGATTTAAAAGTAAATACCGGTCCAATAATGAATGAGAGTTGTAACAGATCAGGGGAGCAAGGTGCGGTCACGAAACTCGAACGAAACGATTATCTTTCATTTTGTTCACAGTTAAATATATATTATTAATATGTAATATATATAACATAATATATAGTGTCTAATAGTATATTTATTAGTAATATTATATCTTAATATATTTTGTTATATCTTATCATCATATCATCATAAATACTCACGCCTGTCACCCAGAGGGGTAGGTAGAGACTACGGACTTCCATTTTGCACGATTCTGACATATCTCTCTCGATTCTTTTACATTTATATACATATTATATGCTTATTTATTTTAGTTCCTAATCTTTTTTTTAGTTTTTTAATTGCTACAAATACGTTCAATTCGCACCACGCCGTGGGTCCTATTTATTAAAAATCTATGTTGAAAAAATCAGGTTTAATTAGCTTAAAGTTTTTTACATGTTTGTGGAGAAAAACTAATTACTGCATTGTAGCTAAAAGTGACTTCAAAAAATCAAACTCAAGTTCATAAAAAAATCTCAATACAAAGAAGACTACAGTATCAATGGCACATACGTGATTAAACCTGAAAGTGAGAATTAATTTGACACTCGGTGCATCTTTATTTTGCAAAGAATCTATACTGTTATTGGCAGAGACGACTGTAGGAAATGGCAGAAACGGGCATTTAAAAGATGGCGGTTGAAAATGGAACGTTAAACGTTACACGTAAAATACCCAGACCGGAGACGGGTAGCGGTAACAAAGGGGCGTCAGACACTGTGATTTTCAACTTACGATTTAAGGAGAATTCCTCTCAGAAACGTAAAACTACCGGGTCCGATTATGAAACTAAACCATTCTCTAATAAACTTACTTAACTTAGTTACACACACAAAATTTCATTAAAATCGGTCCAGCCGTTTCCAAACGGACAGAAGAATATGCATGTATTATACACATAAACCTTCCTCTTGAATAATTCTATCTATTGATAAAAACCACATCAAAATCCGTTGCGTATCTTAGATCGAAGCGTACAGACGTCGGAAAGAAACTTTATTTTATAATATAAAGTAGATATAAAATAATTTGGTTTTCGAAAAGAATACTATTACCTTCAATAAGAAATTATTACAAATCATAAAAGGTTATCCTTCATCTACCTTATCGTCCACATTCTAGATTGATGCCGACATATCTGCATGTAGGCCACGTCCTTATTATATTTATCATAAGAAACATGAAAGTATGTTACAAGAATATATATAAATTACGCATTAGCAACTACGTTGAAAGTTTATTTTTATAATTGAAAATCTCTAATAGTTATTGAGATTTATTGCAAAAGACCTTGTATTATTGCCGACAAATTTGACAGTAAAAACGCGTGCAGTCCAAAGAGTTAGTCCACTCTCACTTTATATTGTTTAAAGTGAGAGTGGACTAACTAAGAGTGGATTTGTTGTACTTGTATAGTTTTAGAGGACTTCGTTACAGTGAATTGTACGAGTAAGAATTATATTGCATTCATATTTTTTATAGATCAAGGATTAATTTATATATGTATTATTATTGGAGGCACTTGACGCTGCCTGCAGGTGGTGTACCCTGCTCGCGAACAAAGCACTGGTGATATTTAGCGACTAATGGTGTAACTATGGCGAACCAAAATTTATTAGAAGAGTAGTTCACGGTAGTAATACCGGCATTGGAGTGTATTTAGTAAGTGACAGAGCAACGTATTATAACTGCAGCACAAAGGGGTCGGCTCGACCGGGGAAGTACCACGCTCGCACAGAATACCTGCATGAATAAGCAACACAATGCTGCTGTATTTCGTAGGGAAAATGCACTGGTATGGGTAACGAGGTATTCCATCTCAGTCTACATTTTGCCTTTAGCGTTAACAAGACCCGTTCCGATTTCCGCATTCGAGTATATTTCATCCATTACTCTGGGCTACTTTGCTTCGAGAGCTACTTGCGTATGCAGTCTGTGAACACGTTCGGGAGTAGGTATACTACAAATCCAAGCAAAATAAATATTTACCGATTACTACCAAGAATAGTTCGCGAGGCTATTGAAATCAAAAAATATTTGGAAAATGCAAAAGTGCACGCCTCACACGCTTATTATGTTAAAAATTTAAGAAACAGAAACAGAAAAAAACAGAAAATCAGATAGACTTTCATTAACAACTTTTAAGCGGTGTTGAGTTGAATAACAGAAATCAATAGGGATCTTCCTAAGAATATATGGAGTCTAATTTAATACTATATATCTCAATCTATTTATTGCTTACATTTCTACAATGCGAGAAGACTCACCGACGCACAAACCAACGGACGGC